GCACTATTTAAATATAGAAACACACCCAAAATCAACCCCAAAGTCAACTTTTTGGGTGTGTTTATAAATGGGTTTTGAGTGTGTGTAATGATGGGTTTTGGGTGTGTTTATAAAGTGTTTTGGGTGTTGAGTTTTTTTATAATTTTAACCTCTATTTTGGGTGTTTTAGTGAAACTCCCTATTTAATATTTCATTTTTATTTTTATGTTTTAGTTAATTTAATGGGTTGACTTGGAAAAATTTGAAGGCCCCTAAATTTTGGAGGCCCTATGCGGTTGCACACCTTGCACATCCTGCACACCCCATGGGCCGCCTTTGGTTTTTAAGCATGCACGGTTACAACTCAATCTCATTTCTATGCAACATTCACTTTAACCGTCACCCTTTTGTTTTTTTACAATGTTCAATTGATCATACTAGTAACTCTCTCTCTCTCTCTCTCTCTCTCTCTCTCAAGATCCGTATGACTTATGAGCTGTGCAAAGTGAAAGTATAATAAATAAAAGCCAGAGAGTCACTAAGTCAAAGTAAACGATGTGATTAATTAATTATCTACTTAAACTTCAAATTGTAGTCATTGCAACATGTTTGAGTAAATCGAGTAATTTGTCATGGTAACCATATTTTGACCTTTTTTTAAAATATTTTATTTTAAATACATTCAAGTATATGAACACGATTGAGTTTGTCCAAAGAATTAAATTTTCCATTGACCTGGCAATTTTGTATTTGAATTATCAATGATTTTCTTTCTCCCCAAACTCAAAACTAGTGCAAATTGTCCAAGCAGGTCAACTAAAGCAGCCTTACTTAGTGCCTAATCCTTCCACTTGGTTTTAAAAGACTATCGGAAATCTAGAGGAGAAAAATTGATCGCCTTCATCAATATTATCCGATATTGAGTAATGCTAGAAAAATCATATTTGTTGTAAGTTTGATACAGGTAGGATGTATTTTTATATAAGAATATGGTCCTACCATATGTATTGGTAGATAACTTTTGGGCACATTACTCTTTCTAACATAAATAAAAAGACAAACATGCCCTTTACTGTGATAAATTTACCTTCATTCAGTTGTACTTGTCTACAATATACAAAGGTACCCCATTTGGGCCATTTCCAATATTTGATGCAACACGCAACCCTTGTCGACGAGTGATTATAGAATATTACGGTAGTACGGTCATGTGTTACATCTTATACACGTGTTATAATATCACGTAAACGAGATATAACACGTGATCATATTACTGTAGTATTCTATTATTTCTCCTTGTCGACATAACCCCATCCTCTATTGTTGGCATCCTAGATAAAGATGGACTTCCATGTCCCACCTCAAGCTTCCATTTGAGCAATGCTGGAATGTTTTGGACGCTCTATGGGTTTTCTGAAGCAATTTTTTTTTTTTTTTGGTTTCACATTCCACTTTGTAGTCCTCTTCTGTCAGATGTTTTTACTTTTATCAGTTTCTGCTTGTATAGTCCCCAGTTCACTGGACTCTTGCTCTGTTGTAATTTGGCAATGCCTTGAGTGCTCTGATTGAATGTTATACCAGTTTCGTCCAAAACACGCAACACTTGGCCAATTTGGCTCCTTGTTAAGTCAAGACCTAGACTTGGACACTTTTTCTCTTCTTTTATGGAGCGAATGGTGGCATAAAAACGTGAACTAAAGCCGTTCAAAGTAAGAAACTACACATTCCACGAATACCTAACTTCAAAGACCCGTCTGATTAATACATTCCACGAATGCCTACCTTCAAAGACCCGTCTGATTAATTATATCACAGACACAACATATACACACAAATCTTTCTCTTGCCAAATAATCTAACATGTTATGGTACAAAACAATTAACGAGAACGATTTAATGATGCCAACTCATATTTGAATGTATTATCTAAATTAAGAGTTTGACAACATAAAATCCAGATATCGGATGACAGAAAATTACCTTTTGGATTTATATATAGAAGAAGCTAGCAAACCAAGGAAGTTTGGTTGAAGTCCACATAGACTGAGTATACAGCATAGAAAGCATTACAGGACAGGACAGCAGGGCTATCTCATCTCAAGGTCTCTTGGAAGAGAGCTTTGAAGCATAAACATGAAAAGGAACAATGCGAAGCATATGTGTGATTTCTTGGATGGGACAGGATTGCATAGGCATATTGCAGGAGCAAGTTGGAGGCCATTGAAGAAGAGGTTCCATGAAATCCAATCGTGCTAGCTATATATAACGAAATAACATAGGCATTCTATCTTCTGTCATAGTGTTTTTGTGTGTGTGTTTTGTTTTGTTTTTCTTAGAGTAAAACTAATAGGACCAAGATTTCAAAAACTAGAAATATTTGAATGGGGCTTACCAGTCACCTTGTTCACGATCTCTCTAACTAAGGTGAAACTTATGTCTCTTAGTTCCACCTCTATTAGATCGGTGGTCAAATTGTTTTGTTTTAGCTTGAAGGAGAGCATGCCTGCATTAAATACGAGGGAGAGCGAGAGTCAAATTTTCGTGACAAGTATGGGGTATGTGAGCAACTAATTAAGTGAGAATTGCCTAAGAATGTGTATACTAAACTGATATTACTAAGAAACGAAGTATTAGTTATCAGAAAAGGAATACAAAGAAAATTTATTGAAATACAAGTCATATATATCTTTTCATTGCTTAGAAAAGTTCTTTGTATCAAAATCTTTCCTTTGATACTAACGTATACAATTCATGTTTTTCTCTCTTAGTTTATATTTTCAGGCGCTTATTTTAAGAAATCAATCACACCAACCACAGACACAAGCACACCCAAGAGACCTAAATTCCCACTGCAGTGTACCGAAGGAATTAATGTGACACAAGCTTGTCCAAGAACCTACCCTACCACACACGACCCCACAAATCCTAGCCGTCCATCCAATCTCACATGCCCATCATACTTCCGATGGATCCACGAAGATCTACGTCCATGGAAAGAGACAGGAATCACGAGGGACATGATAGAACGAGCTCACAGGACTGCACATTTTAGGCTCTTGATCATCAACGGCAAGGCTTACATAGAGAAGTATAGACAATCCATACAAACTAGGGATATGTTTACATTATGGGGCATTTTGCAGCTTCTAAGGGTGTACCCCGGTAGATTGCCTGACTTGGAGCTCATGTTTGACTGTGATGATCGGCCCATCATCCGATCAAAGGACTTTCGGGGCCCGAATGCTGGCCCGCCACCATTGTTTCGATACTGCGCGGACGAGGGGAGCTTGGATATTGTGTTCCCAGATTGGTCTTTTTGGGGCTGGTAAATATTTTCTTCTGTCTTACTCATACATGTTATGTTTGCATGTGAAATGCCCTTTGTTTTTGTTTCTTTGTTTACTCTTTAGGAACCATGTGTTACAGAAGAATTTTATAAATTCCCAATTTCTAGCCCATTTGAAAAGCAAAGAATAAAAAACTCTGGCCCATAAAATGTTTGTATAAGATGTGTGGCCTAAAACCCTTTTCATCTCCACCAACTTTGGCCCAAACATTTGAATTGGGTGACCCAAAAAAAGAAGAAGAGATTTTAGAGGAGAAATTAATTTTATTAATGAAATTTGTAGATGGGCTAATTTTAATTTTGGTAGGGCTGAGACCAATATAAAACCATGGAGAAGCCTATTGCCAAGCATAAAGGAAGGCAATAAAAGAACAAAGTGGAAGGACAGGTTGCCCTATGCTTACTGGAAAGGTAACCCAAGTGTGGCTCCAACCAGAAAGGACCTTCTCAAATGCAATGTCTCGGACAAAAATGATTGGAACGCACGCCTGTATATTCAGGTGCATCAACTTCTCTAACTATTATTATGTATAAAATGCAATCTTTTTATGTATTAATTTGTGCAATGTTTTGATCTTCTATTTCCAGAATTGGGAGCAAGAATCTAAACAAGGGTACAAGGATTCAAACCTAGAAAGCCAGTGCAAGCACAGGTAGTTTTCAATTTTGTGTTTTTGTTTTTGAAATTACATTTTACAAATTTAAAATGTCCTCTGTTTTCTTTGTTTATGTATAGAGATTTGGTTTTTACAGGTACAAAATTTATATAGAAGGATGGGCATGGTCTGTAAGTGAAAAATACATCATGGCATGTGATTCTATGACCTTGTATGTAAGGCCTCGCTATTACGATTTCTTCATGAGAGGCATGGAGCCATTGCAGCACTTTTGGCCTATTAGGGACAACAGCAAGTGCACTTCTCTCAAGTTTGCTGTGGAATGGGGCAATAATCACAAAGACAAGGTTAGAACTTTAGCTGTATGAAGATTTTTTATTTTTATTTTGTGTTGAACAATGTGACATATTATGTTGTTAGACTGTGAATTTCAATTGCACATCCAAATGATTAACATTTGGTATCTCGTGAATATGGCAGGCGAAGGCGATTGGGGAGGCCGCGAGCAACTTCATACAGGAAGATCTAAAGATGGACTATGTCTATGATTACATGTTTCATGTGCTAAATGAATATGCAAAGCTCTTGAAATTCAAACCAACTATACCTCCCAATGCAGTGGAACTATGCTCAGAAACAATGGCATGCCCTGCAACAGGTACATGGAAGAAGTTCATGGTGGAGTCTATGGTGGAGTCTCCAAGTGATGAGCTCCCATGCACTCTGCCTCCTCCGTATGATCCTCTGGCTCTCCGCGATTTTCTTGAGAGAAAGGCTAACTCAACTAGGCAAGTGGAAGCTTGGGAAAATGAGTATTGGCAAAGTATTGATAAAAAGCAATAGAAGCTTTTCCCATGTATTCCATAGGCCGGGACTTGTAATTTATTACGTCCAAGACTGGAATGAAGAGATCTGAACACAAGCATTCAAAGCTTGTTACAAAATCAATGGCTTCCCACTGTAAATATCAATTCTGATGAATTGTTTGAATGTATTTGATAAGTTTTTACACCAAGAATTTTTCAAAGATAAGTGATAAATAATAACACAATAAAATCTGAAATGCACCAATATATAGCAAAGGAATGTACCAATTAATGTTTTAAAATTGAATCCACATCTGATCTGAAAAATAAAGTAATTAACATAAAATAGCTCACACAACTACCAAAAAATAAAATTGAAGATAGATCATGTGACAAAGTGATGGATCAATAATGCTCTACAAGACTATTTAGAGTGCCCGCCCTCTTATGATATCCAAGCTCATCTCACTAGGGTCTGTTGCCTGCAACTCCACTTGAATCCCGTCCAACTCCCTCTTGAATCTGTCCTTGGAGCTTGCATAAAGCATCTTACTTCTCACCCTTGAAGTATCAGGTGCCCTATAAAGAACAGAAGCCATTGAACAATTGAGTACATACGGGATAACGTTATCTTATCAAATACTTGACATGTTACGTACGTGTGACAAAAATACTGTTGGTTAGAACAGTACAATGTAACAAGAATCTACTTTATTAATGATCCGGCTTTAGACTGGAAAACATAGTACCTAATTTCTAACTACATATGTTTACTTACCAGTCAAGTCAGTCTTCTTAGCAAACATAGGCATGTATAGGCATGTTATCTCTTATATCATCACACATCATATTATGCGCTACACACGCACATGATGAATGATGCATACATAACAAGGCATGTAATTAGGGGTAAATTTCCGTTTTGCCCCCTAAAGCATCATGCTAGTTCAGAAGGTAAATTGAAACTAGCTTGATGTATGTAAGTGTATGTGATTATACTAACCATGCAATGAAGAAAATTTTGCTTTTCTGGCAGTTCTCATTGGTTGTGAAATCAAAATCAAGTCCATTTTTAACAACAGGGAAGGGTGTTGGTGTGTGGTGTCACAAATGTCTTTCTCTTTTGCTTTTCTTTCTTAATGCTTTGTTGGGCTTGGTTGTTGTGTGAGTTCAATACGACTCACTCTCACTCACTATCTGTACGGCACGACAGCAAAGGATTCCATATCATGTCTATATCTATCTATCTATCCATCTATATAAAAATAGGGTTAGAGTGTGCCAAATTTTGTACCTCTTTCAACGGGCTATGTTTGTGTGTAGCCCTCCCTGCCCTCCCTGCTCTCGTAGTCTCACTTATTACGTATATTTCAACTTCATCTACAAGACTTGAACCCTACAACCCGACCTACGACCCTACAAAATACAAATGGTCCCACACAAAAAAAAAAAAAAAAACACAGCCTACAATTGTTGAATTTCTTTTCTTTTTGTTTTCTTTTTTGATTACTCCGAGTGTGTGTGAGAGTGAACCTTAATTTTTATTTTTTTGAATACAATCGATGGTCTAAACTACAAGAGATCTGAACACAAGCATTTTTTTGAAAGTGCTTTTAGAATGGCTGAAATCACTTTCAGCTAACTGAAAACCCCTTACGAGTAAAAGTGCTTCTCGCATAAGTCTCAAGTTAAAATCTCCTTTCAATCATTTTGTAGTTGGTATCTTTATGCTTGGGTCAGTCTTGTTATGGAAAATGGTGAAATTGGGCTCCTTTGTTTTCTTTTCTGGTGCACAATATTGGCCCAATTCTAGACCCAAAAAATGAATTGGAAGTCCACCCAATCCAAATCCAACCACGTAGTGGTCCGAATGACCAGAAATCAGAGGCGGGAGCCTCTCTTCTCTCACTCACCCCATACTACCACTTTCTACAGCATGGCGTCGCCGTCCTGCTTCGAAACGCCGTCGTCTGCTCTTTCTTCTTCTTCAAAAATAGAGTGGGGCGAGAAGGTCTCGGACAAGGTGTTCTCACTCTACAACTCTCTTCCCAAGAAAGGAAAGCCTCAGGGTCGCGAAGTCACCGACTTGGCCGCTTTCCTCGTTTCCTCTCCTTCTCAAGGTCCTACTTTCCCTCGTTTTCTCCTTTTTAAATTTGATTTTCCTGCACTTTCCTGGAAAGCAAACAGTGTTCTTAACACTTTCAATTGTTCAGAATTGGAAGTTGTCGCGTTGGGAACTGGGATCAAATGTCTTGGGCGTTCACTCTTGAGCTCCAACGGTGATGTCGTCAATGATTCCCACGCCGAGATTATAGCTCGAAGATCTTTACTGAGGTTTTTATTTGTTGTTATATATTCATTTCATTAGCAAATTTAATTTGTTTAGTTGTCCAAATTATGTGTGCTTAGTTGAAAAGTGCCAATTTTTTGGGAGGAATTTGCATTTGTTAACTATATCTCTACCTTATATTTTTAGTGTATGGTGCGTATACTTGGCTTCTCTGGCACTAGGTTCTTCTATGCACAGATTCAGTGTCTTACTCAAGTTTATAGTAAGCAAAGTGATAGCAATGGAAGCACAGAATTGCAAAATGGTGATGCCAAAAACTTGCTTTTTGAATTGGACCCTAATGGTGATGGCCAAGGAAAATACAAACTGAGGAAGGGTTTGCAATTAAACTTGTACGTATCACAACTACCATGTCAGTTCTTGTTCATATCCAAGAAAAGAGAGTCCTTTTTTCTTCGGTTTTTGCCCTACTTAGATCTTTATATCTATATCAGGACAAACCAATACTGCGATTATACTTATTCTCCTTCCTTGCAGGTGGGGTTGCATCTCCGAGTTCACTGTTGTCTCCCCCAAAAAACATCTCACCAACAGAACGGGGTTCATCTTTGGACGAGCTTAATGTTTCAATACATGAAGAGGCTCTACCAAATACTAATGGTAATGGGATTTTGTACTTGTCCTCTTCTTTGTTTTATATGTGCAAAAAATTTATGTTTCCATTTTTCACCATAATGTGGTGGGTTGAATATTTTTCTAGTGAATGTTGGCGGCTTCTTTTTGAGATAAGAATCATTACTTTTGACATGAGATTTGAGTCATGTAGCATCTGTATGTTACCATATTTTCAGGTGATGTTTCACAACTAATTGGCTCGGTTCAAAGAA